AAACGTTCACCGGAAAAGGATGAGACTCTACAAAAGAGCACCACCGGCTGGATATGAATGTGAGGTTTAGGCCCTTAAGGAAGACAGGAAACCACGGGATGGCGGCTTTGGAAGAAACTCATGAATGGTAGCACAGGAGGCGGTGCTGAAAGAATGAGAGGGCTATGTAATACTTACGGTGTTTAAAATGTGCCTTTTAGAGAAGAGAAGGAAGGAGGAATCGAAACTGGTGGCGGAGGAGCAGTCACTATTCGACAGCTTAGAGAATAGTTACTCGTCCAAATCTTCTTAAACTTGTACTTACTCCTCCCAATTTACTTCAGTCAATAAGCATGACAAAAATAAATCAGCCTGGAGCCCTAGAAGTACGAGAGCTATGAAAGTGATAAGCAAAAATATTAATAATTATCTTTTGCTGCGGCATTGTTTGAATGAAAAGGTAAAGAAAAGGCGTTGATAGATGTGTTGACACATGTCAAAAGCAATATGCTGCGTAATTTATTTGATAATAGTAGAGCTATTGCATTGGTTAAATTTAAACTTTAATTTGCCTAACTGCTTTGGGCCAGCACTATTCGTTAAAAGCGACGTCTGATCCTAAGATTGTCAACCTGACCAAAGCCATGTTGGTAGTTATGAAGCTTTGGAAGGAGTCAAACTTCCTACAAGTCACACATCCATCACTTAATTGTGGATCAAGTTAAGTCCCGAGATGAATATGATGACAGATTCAAATATCCAGCAGTCCTTGATGAAAGAGGTGGTGACTATCTCTAGTGCGTAGGCTGATGCTAACTATTGACGTAATAAATGTCAGTGCATTTTGCCTGAACCAAACAAAGTTTCGCACTGTTTTTAATTCCCTCTACTTTTTTCGCACGTTTTCCACTTACCCCTTTATCTACATTAAACTCCCGTTTTTGTAAATCTAACACTTGTGCATTCGACTCCAAGTTTTCTCATTCATGAAGCATTTTAAACCAAGCCCAATGTCACAAAGTTGTTCTATGTGAGAATGTAGTAGCACTAATTCCAATACCAACACCATTGACGCAGTGGATAGGGATGACGACGTGATAGGAATGCATGTCAACGGGAAGGGTGACAAATGTCACCTCTTAGCCTGGTCATGCATAGCCTACTACTGGCTTAT